AACTGTGCTGTGGGCAAGTTCGAGCGACAACTGTTGTATATATAGATTGACTTACATTGCCCGAACGATGAATGGTTTGGACACTCCAGTCTACCATTCGGGATCAGGCCCAGGGGTCTGGTCACACCGCTGGTTATCAGTAGCTGATTTCATTTATCATTCATTTGACCATGTACGCTGCCAGGATCACAGCCAACAGTGAAATGTGAATAATGATGAGATTTTAAAAACTTGACCGACTGGAGTCGTTCGAGTGTAACTGCACGTAAAAAACATCTGACTACTGGACAAACTATAGTTTGCCCCCAAACTTGCCCTGTAGTGTTGCAGTTAGGCTGGCCCAGCTATTGTCAACCTATTCCTTTTGAAAATTTCTCAACCTTATCCAAATTTATGCATCTCACACTTAACAACATTAGTCATCTGAAATACGGCACTTTATCTGCAGTGATCTATGACATGACATTGTAAACAATGTGAACTTGACAAATCCTGGCACATGCACACTGGACCTCTGTGCTATAGTTGGGCTGGCCCAACTATAGCACTCTAATTGGGATGGGACCAACTGTAGTTGGGAGGGTCCCAATTAAAGTTGGGACTGATGCTATAGTTGGGTTGTAACAGTTTTAACAGGGCCATTCATTCAATGAGCCGTGGCGCTCAGAACATTTTTGGTTCGTTGGAGTGGGGCAGACGTCAGACCCCACAGTTCTGGGGGTAGGGGCTCGCCCCATCATGCCCATACAGAATATTTGAGAAGTGGCTGATTGGAAGTTTTTGTTTTTAACTATGGTAACAGGTTTTGCATGATGGCATTCCCCAGCTTCACCGTAGTCTTCGCCAGGCAGCTACGGGCCCTGGCCACAGCACCCAGAATGGTCCGTCACCGGAGCAGCGGCAGCAGCAGTGGCAGTAGATTCACCGAGCGAGCCAAGAAGGACCTCCGGAATGCCTTCGCCATGCCCGAGAAGGAAGGGCTTGACGAACACAACCGGCCGCCCCACGAGACGGACGTACTCATCATCGGAGGTGGGGTCATGGGGTCCAGTATTGCATACCACCTCAAGAGGGATTCGGAGGTTGGGCTCAATGTCCTTGTCGTGGAGCGAGACAACATGGTAAGGGTGTGTCTCGATTCGAGTCACTTGTCTAAATCACTTGGCTATGGCTAGACTAATAACACTTTAAGCTGCAAGCTTTAACCTTAGATTAGATCCTATTGCACTGTCTTCTTCATCAGTTGCCCCACCCCTCTAGACGAGGGCTAATCCAGAACCAAACTTATCGAGGGGGCCAATCTTATGTTTTTTGTGGGGGAGGCCAAAAGGTTTGAAAATTTTGGATGTAACCCTTTATGACCTTTCTGAGGCCACATTTTCGAGCTTTTCTGACTCTTTTGGAAGGAAGTCAAATGAAATGGACCACCTCTCCAAAAAAACACCTTTCATTGTTCTCTCCTTCTCCAATTTCAGGGGGAGTATGGCCCCTGTTGCCCCACTCTCCCTACCCTCATCTAGTCCTAAAAGGACTGAATGACCCTTATCTGTTTGCAAGATAAAAAACGGTGGGATTGGAGCGAACTTTGAGAAATGCTAGCAGTCTGACAGTGTGCGGAGCAAAAGAAATTCTTGTTTTTTACATTGGACAGTAATACGCAAATCCTTGCATTGTTTGAATTGTCGTTCATCCTTTGACAGTACACAAGAGCATCGACAACTCTCTCTGTGGGTGGCATCCGTCAACAGTTCTCTATTCCAGCCAATGTTGAGATGTCGATGTACAGTGCCGAGTTCCTTAAGACTGTCAAGGCAAAGTATTTCAGTGTTTATAAGTCCACATCATTTATTGTCCATTCCCCTGTGTAAAGTCATTCATAGTTTAAAACCTAAAATCGCCAAGCAGGCTGGAACCGCCCGCTCAGAGGGAAGAAGAGTATCTGGTGTAATGTCCAAAATGCAGGAATTTTACTTAGAGCTGATGTAATTTCTTTTCTTGTCGCACACGTCAAATTTTACCACTTGCCATTCTTCTGCATACAGGGGCCCCCCTTGAGTAACTTTTGCTTTATTTCCCTGACAGAGGTGCTCTTTTTTGCCATTTGTTCTTGGATAATTACCTGTATTAAAGCTGGTTCCCCGTAGTATTCAATACGTATTCACTGATTTACTACATTTTAGAATAAGGAAGTGGAAACCAGTGTAGAGGAGAGAGAGCAAATTCACTGCTGGCTTAACAAGCTGTTTTGAAACATTAAACCTTCGTGATCTTTTATAATTTATCAGACTGTTTGATGGATTGTGTAGGGTTGAGGAAGGAGGAGTTTTGGAACCTATGTAGCGCATGGTGCTTGATCTCAAGTACACTAGGTGCCATGGGTTTCCTGCACAGTGGAGGATTTATGATTTTGTAGGATTCAGGTAGGGTTCCTAGCTAGCCCACACACTAATGGGGTGTAAGGTCAGAAATCTAAGAGATGTGTTCCAGGGAACGGTCCCATGTGAGAGTGCAGGCTATGAAATGTCACCACCTCAACACACTTGCAGTGTTGTAGTCGAGTACTTTCCAAGTACCAACGTTTTCCCCAAAATACTGAACTCGGTAAGAGGGAATAAAGCCAGAGTGCACAGGCATTTGATGGTAAATGTGCAAAGGTAAGATTACAAAATAAATGTTAGAATTCAGACACTTCCAGTTGTGTAAAATTTAAGTTTTAAGGAGAAAAGTACTTGGAAAGTACTCGGCCGAGTACGTTCCGAGTACATTTCTCCTAAAAAGTTAATTTTATCAAACAGTGATGGTCTGAAGTCATTATGTTGCTTTGTAATCTTACCTTTATGCATGTATCATCAAATGCCAATATACTTCAGCTTTGTTTCCTCCTAACTAGTTGAATATTTGGTAGAGAACTTGGTTCTCAAAAAGTACTCGACTACATCACTGCACACTTGTTGCAGTGAATCTTACTTGAAGGGCATTTCTGTTTGGTTCACAGGAGCACCTTTGTGTAGACGACGCAGACCCACCTGACATCCAGTTCAACCATGGCAGCTACTTGATTCTTTCCTCAGAGAATGGCGTGGAACAGATGATTGAGAATCACAAAATACAAAAGTATGTGACTCCATTTCCTCTCAAAAATCCTTCATTTATCGACTTCAAGAAATGTAATTGTCTGGACAACACAGAAATAAACCACATAGTTCTGAAATAAGTACAAATGTTTAAAACACCCAGCACATCTCTTCAGCGCAGAAGCATTAAAAACTGGTTTTGAAAAGAATCAATAATTTAAAAAATGAAAAAGCAATATAGTTGTCAAAAAACTAACATCTCCAGCTTCTTATTTACACTTAAAACGTTTTTAGTTTTACTAAAGTTATTGTCACTTTAATTTCTTGGTTGGTTTGAAATTGTGACAGGGAGTGTGGAGCAATGGTGAGCCTCCTGACTGCTCCACAACTGAAAAGCAAATTTCCCTGGTTGAACACCGACGACCTAGCTCTTGGATCGTATGGTAGGCCAATTGTGTCTAATTGTACACCACCCTTTTTATTCTGAGAGTTCAGATGACATATTTATTTTGGTTTCAGTGATGATAATGACGTAGCAGCATACATTCACATTTTGACTTTGTTCATCACAAATGCTAATTCATAAATCTATTAGACAGTTTAGCCATTCCTATTGGTTGAGAGCCTGTCATGTGACTGGTTGAAATGGTCAGTGAATCACTGGCTGGCTGTGCTCCGCCTCAAACCATTTTTTGCCATTAAAGGAGAAAGTTAATGATAATTTGCAAAGAGTCGCGTACCATAACAAGACCAGCCAGTATTTGAAAAACTGAAATAAAACTTTTGTACAGAATCGATTTTGTACAACAAATCACAATTGATACACAGATTGCGCGTATTGCTTGAGATGGTGCAGAACTCTATGAACCAGAGTAGTTTGAATTTGGGACTCTCAAAATGCGAACTCAATGGTAGTATTGTACAAACAAATGTAAGTGAAGATTAAGAACATTTGAAGAAAACCAACAGTTGAAGAGGGACCAGATTTTATATGAGCCTAAATTTTTTGTGACAGTAAAAAAGTGTACAAAATCAGCTTTATCAACTGGTCACTACCCGCCATGTTACGGGCTGTCAGACTGTCTTAGGTACTTATGAATCACTGTTAATCAATACCATATTTAAATAGAGAAGTTGACCAAAGGAGGCTCTGAACCCCAGACCACTTTCTAATTTGCACGGGCAGGATATGATAACGAGGGCTGGTTCGATCCCTGGTCCCTCCTCAAGGCCTTCAAGGAGAAAGCTCTGTCCCTGGGAGCGCAGTATGTCCATGGGGAGGTGACAGGGTTCGACATATCCCAGGTACCCCCTGCACAGGCTCCAATGGCCCTATGCACAGGGAGCGGACGAAGAATCCGAACTGTCAAGGTTGGTACTCGGCAATGCTATTAAAAATCAAAGTTTCATCAATTCAATAACCAATATGTCAATTTGGGAACCAAGGTGGGACATTTTATCAACCTGATTACTTGATAAAGCTGTGTTTGGTGTAGAGCCGTTGTACTTGTAGAACCTTGGTTACTCTAGATATAGTTCTTTTGGCTGTGCACAGCAAGAGAGTAACAATAGCAAATACCATGTGACTAGCTCACAGCCAATCCAAATAGAATCTGTGAGTGAGGCATTACAAAATTGTTTATTGATAGGTGAAGCTGCCCAATAGTCCCGAGACAATCCCGGTCAAGTGCTCCATGGTGGTGCTAGCAGCGGGGGCGTGGTCGGGGGAGGTGGCCCAGCTTCTGGACATCGGCCGAGGCTCGGAGGAGGACCTCCTGGACAAGCCTGTCCCCGTCTGCCCCCGGAAGCGCTACGTGTTCGTGGTGCATGCCCCGGATGGTCCTCTCCTAGATTGCCCGCTGCTCGTTGACAACACAGGCTGTTACATGCGACGGGAGGGCTTCGGTGGGAACTACTTGTGCGGTCGATGTCCGGCAACCGAAGTAAAGTTTCCTCAGATATGAAAATCTGAGCCCCCCCAGTCCATGAGTATTGCCAGTGGACCAAGACTGATTCTTGGTTTCGCCTGCTCCCCCGTAAATAAATTGTAAAAATATATCCAATGTAAGTAGAAAAAAAAGAGAAATGAATAAAAGGAGTAGAGGGGCTGAAAATCACCATTTTGCTTGAAAATACCTCAGCATTGATGCCCTTTTACCCTTCTTGGTTTGTCAGTTTGATGCTGATGAATGCTTTGCCCCTTGCCCCTAGAAGTAATCATCCTGCCAATGCTCTTGACCCCTACTTTTGGAAGTGTTTGGTAGGATCTTGAAAAATGTTTTACATAATGTGCATGCGTTGATACTCTTCACAAAACTCTGCTAACCAGTGTTGTATTCAAGTCCATCACTAGTCCATTACAAGTCATTCTGTCTTAAGCCAGTTCACAAACTGTTCACGTGAGCTGTGATGTGACAAAAGCATTCTTTGGTCACTGTTTACTTGTGACTGGCCTTGTGAAGGGACTTGTGATGGACTTAAATACAACACTGCTACTAACTATGTGGGCACACCCCTACCTATTCAAAATTTTGACCAGAACTTTAACTGTTTGCAATATCTTGTAACTTTCAGTGCCCCTTGAAAAAAGTGTGTGCACCCAAGATCCTCCGGACCCTTTGCCCTAATGGCACAACTGTCGCTCAACAACAAAGTTTCTAACTAGAAGTTCTTCTTGAAGGGTTACTAGTCAAAACATACATCCTTCAATGAAAAAATTGGAGTAGTGGTAATTAATCCACAGTGGCCTTTGTTTTTGGGCCTTTGTTTACAGGAGGAGGAGCCATGTTGTGACAATCTGCAAGTAGATTACGACTTTTTTGAGCAGTGCATTTGGCCGCATCTTGCAAACCGGGTTCCTGCCATGGAAAATTTGAAGGTGTGCCTCAAAAGTTACAACCTGATAATTGCTGTTTTGTAAACAACCAAATAGATTCATTTTCCTATTGTAATATTTATAGCATAGCGTCACATCTTGAAATGGGAGGCACATAACGTTGTGATTTGTTACTCCAGAGCACCGGGCTTGGAGGGTGGGGTTCGAATCCAGCTGATGGTTATGTGCCGTGTCCTTGGGCAAGTCACTTTACTCCCACTTGCTCGCTCTCTCCACCTGAGAGTGTCTAGAGGTACCTTTGAGGATTGTTGTCTTTGATTAGCTGCCTGATCTGGCAGCATTGAGCCGTGTACTCCCTGGGGAACTGAGATGAATTCAGGAATGATTATTGGCCCGATGAGTAGGGGTAGTAATATTTGTATGGCCTTGAGCACCAGTAATCATGGACATAGTGAGTGCAGTTTTCTTTTGAGGGGATTTTTTTATCTCCAATCTCGATCTTCAGATCAAAAGTGCCTGGGCCGGATTCTACGACTACAACACCTTGGACCAGAATGCAATCATCGGCATCCACCCGGCCTACCCAAACTTGTACCTGGCCACTGGCTTCAGCGGCCACGGAATCCAGCAGTCGCCAGCGGTGGGGCTGGCCATCAGCGACCTCATCCTGCACGGTAAGTTCTGCACGCTGGACCTATCAGCATTCAGCTTCGACCGCATCATGTGCGACCAGCCGTGCAGGGAGAAGAACATTTTTTAAGGTCACACATGAAATCCAAGACAGCGTTTTGGTCCAGGAGGAGGTTCACAACGAGAACACAGCTTGCTCCACTAAAACTCCCTCTAAGCTTAATTTGTTGTCGAAACAGGATTTTGATTCTCAGATGCGGGTTAGAAAATGGCAGGGTTAAAATACAGTTTAGGAATGACATACTTTAACATACATTGGGAAAAGTTCCATAGAACATCAGAATCTGAAATTGTTTTAAAAGCAGCATTTCTGTATGGTATTAACATGACCACGCAGAGAAATTTTTGAAATAGATTCTTTCTTTTGATACATTAAAATGTATTTTTGAGTGTTCATGTACATGTATTCCAAACATTAATTCATTTTACAATTCTTGTAAAATATAATGTACAATTATCTTCTGAAACTTTGTCGTTCAGAGTCCTTTATCAGTCATCGTTGACTTTTCTGCAGTGTGGAAAAGTCATTCTCTTTGTACTGATTTTGGGCATTTCTGCCAACTTGACCTTAAAAACCTTCTATTTTGGGTTTATTTATTTATTTTTTCTTCTATTTCCATCCCAAATCCCATAGTCTATGTAGATTGTTTTTTCCTAATGTCACTTTGGAGACTTCTTAAGCTTAGATCTTGATGAAACTTGGCTTAAGCAGTCTTTAAAAAGGAAGTCTGATGTCATGATGGTGTTATCAACTGAATGTGTAAAACTTCTCTATTTTAGTATGAAACCCAGACACTTTGTCTTATGACACACATATATGTGTACATAACAAGTATAGTGGAACCCTGTTAAAATAAGGTCCTTGAAACTCAACAAATCACCATATTATAACAAATACCTTGTATTATCAGTAATGAAAAACATAGAAAAGCAAAGACTTGGGTCCCACATTTTCCTGGTTATAAACATGACATTGTCTAGTGGCAAAAATTGGGTGGGTGGGGAAGGGTGGGGAAAGGTGGGGGGGGGATGAACTGCCTGGCGATGAAAATTTGAAAAATTACTTTTTTTGCTCACCAGAAAAAATGGGAGGGGGGGATGATTCAATAGCCCATCCCCCACCTCAAAGTTGGGGGGATATATACCCCTCCTTTGAAGTGGGGGGGATATATATACCCCCCTGGGATTTACACCCATAGTATTGTATTATTAGTGCTTTTCTTACCTGCATTGGACTGTATTTTTGTTTCAAAGCTTACAAGCATTTATTTTCCCTTAGACTTATACTTTTATCTTTAAGTTTTTGAACTGTTAGTAAGCCATTTGATCACTTATTAAGTGGATGTGCATTTTTTCCTGGAGCTGGAAGCTGAATTCCTTTTTTTTTTCAGTATTCGTGTATATCTCAGTCCTTGCTCTATGTTCAGTCCAATTTAAAAAATGTCACTGACATGACATCAGTTATGCAGCATTATGTTTATTACGCATGCTTTTTTGGACTGATTATGTAATACTGTCAATATTCTTTGCCAGCTATTGAATAGTAGAAAACATCTTGAGCTGTAGATATGCTTTATATTATATGGAATTATTTTTGAAGACTTGTATTTCCAGCCATTAGGCCCACAGCTATCCAAGTCATGCTACTGTAGTGTAAATGGTATCCTGGAGCAGTATACATGATTTCATTTATAATCAAGGCATAAATTTATACAGGGCTGAGCACAAACAACACAAGGTCTAATCCAAGATCAGACTAAATGCATTCTTTGCAATCAGCCACCTTTTGCCATTCATCCTCAATCCTCCAAACTCCTCCAAAACTGCCCAAAGGATTTTGCAGGATTGAGGGCGGTTAGGGTTGATGGTGTGTACTTGTATCAAAGACCAACAGATTTGAAATCATTTTCTTTTTTGTACACAGTGCACAAAGAGTGGTGAGTCTGAACTTGGAAACAATCCGAAAGCTGGCCCAATTTTGGTACCCAATTAAGACTTCATTAGATTAAGTGTCCCATATTAGAATATTAATCTGAACTTGGGCATGCTCTTTTGGTTGGACATACATTTGTTTTTAACTGAGATTGCAAAAAAGTATGTACGGCTTTTTACTGTTATCTTAAGAGACACATTCATTGTACCCAATGCCGTTAAACTTCACTATGCTTCCTTTTAATCGTGTACTCGATTTGGGGTAAAAGAAAAATTACATCTACACTTAGTTTTCACAAAAAGCGGTGTGCTGATGTTTGTGCTATTTGTGCTGATGCGTATACCGGACAGCATCTTGGACTTGTTAATCTAATTCTCCCCAGCACTGTCTCTAGTGAAGGAGGAGTTGGTCCTATTGCGACGTGCAATCCACAGCGTGCCCCCCCCCCCCGGAGTCATCCGTTTGACTTGGTTACTGGAACACATCCAGCTAGACGGACAGCCAAAGTTACTGTGCTAAATTCCATTGACTGCACTGTGAAGTGACATATTCATGTACTACAGTTTGGTGCACCATGAAGTACCATCCATAGTATTTATACACACGATGCGTTAGTTTCCAATGCAACCAACGATTTGCTTGTTGATTTGTATGCCAGCCTGATGGTTCCTCACACATCTCTAGGGCACTGCAGGGGTCAACGTGTAGTAAATATGTACATGTACTCAGCAAAGATTGATATATTGAGTAAGTATAAATTGTAGGATTTCTGAAAAAAGTATTCCTATTTTGTATCAACGATCATAGAATAACAAATGCAGAGACTCTGTTGTTTTAATGAAATGTCCCTGTTTTGGGTATTTATTGATTTCTTTCGTGTTTTTGACTTACAAATTTGAATGCAGTGTTAACATTATGCTTCAATGGAGCCATGTTCCCTCTGGTATCAGAAGGGCAGTATGCGACATTCATTATCAGGTCAGTTCCTTTGTGGACACACCCCCCAGTTTCACACCTCACATTCCGATTGGTCTACTTCTTCTTGGACACACCCACTGTTCTTCCCCTTCGGCCGGTGGTCTTGGTGTGTTGTCCTCTGACACGCAGACTGTGTGGAAGAGAGAAAAATGGGGAAAAATTTGACTATCGGCAGAGCTTACTGGTCCAAACCCATCGAGTCCACTGCTTCTCTTCAGAACCTCATGCCCAAAAAACAAATTCACAGTGTGCTTCTACTGCACACCTTCCACAATTTAAAAGCATTTAAGAATCCTTACTTCGATTCAAATCATTTGGTCTTGCTCTCTGATGTAAACAGGCAGCAGTGAACTTATTTGTGACTGGCTCTGCAAAAGTGGCCCTTTGGCTTAATAAGGATTTATTTCCTTTTTTACCGCACATTCTATTTCCGAAATACAGTAAAATTTAGAATGGATCTCTGGCAGACGTATGGAATGGTCTGTCACATGCAGAGGCATAGCATGACTTTAATAACTACTTGCTGCCAGGGTTTCCGGTACTGGATACATATTTTTTATACACATGGCCGGGTCTCCGAAATCAGACAAAGGGAACTGGGCCTTGTAACAAAACACTGTACTCGTAACGAAAGACCAGGCTGCTGGGCATTACCAACATTTTTTCACTCTCAATAGTGGAGATAATCCAGCATTGTTTTGAAGCGGTATACCACAGTTTGGGGGATTTAGTGCAAGTGGATTACCACCGGGGACAAAAGTGCTCCACCACCGCAGCGATGAGCCACAGTACCACTGCATGCTAATCTGGCCCCTATTGAAGGAAGTCAGCGTCAATAGATGTTGTCTGTCAGATTAGAGTAGAAACTAGACAGTCCTTTGTGCGTGTGTGTAAGTGTCCAGTAAATGAATATAGGAATTTTTAAAGAATTTTGAGAACAGAAAAAAATGATAATTATTGTGCCCCATCATCATCAACATTGATAACTGCCAACGGCGCAAAGTGGTTAAGGGCCTTTTTTGCAGAGTGGATCACATTTTGAAGTTAAACAGAAATATCAAACTTGCCTGAGGAAACTGTCACAAAATTTATCTGAATTTCGCTGGTGAAAGAGTGAGTGAAGTGGGCCTAATCCTGTCGCAATTTTCTGCATTTAAGTTTAAGTTCAGTGCAAAGGACCAAAGCCTACCAATGATTTTCGCCCCGGGGTGCCTTGATGTCTCTTGCACACCTTGTAGACTGACATCCCATCTGTCACTGAAATGTGCAACTTTGACACCATTTTTTAATTCAAATGCTGACCAAATTACGCCCCAAACCTACCCCCAGTAGTGACGCAGGCCACGGTGGGCTCTGATCTTCTTCAGGCGCTCCAGGTCCTCACGCAGCTTGTTGTCCAGGGCGTTGGCCAGCACCTGGCTGTACTTGCCGTCCCGCTCATCCTTCTGTCTGTTCAGGAACCAGTCGGGGATCTTGTACTGACGCGGGTTGCTGATGATGGTAACAACCTTCTCCACCTAGTCACGGTGAATAGGGGAGGAAGAAATGAGCAAAACTGAATAGGAATCGTCCAAATAATTCAGAATTTCTGCACCTTAAAAGGCATTTGCGAATTAGAGACCAATGAAAGGCTGAAGTGCTAGTGGCGATGAGGAACTAGTCTCCAAGATGCATTGAGGAATTTTCCACTTAAAAGAATGTGACCAACTTCTATATCATCCTAAAAAATTACAGTAAATTTAACTTTAAAATATCGAAACCAATTACCTCCTCTTCTGTCAGTTCACCAGCACGCTTTGTCAGGTCAATGTCAGCCTTGCGACAGCAAACATTGGCATAACGCCGCCCTACGCCCTGAAACGACAAATATATCTTCAGATTAAAATGTGTACATTTGGACTGTCACTCAAGGCCTAATAACTATAATAACACATTTCTAACAATATAAAATTGTTTTCATTGCGTGATACCTAATTTGAAGACATGACAAACATCCTTACAAACTGGTGGACATGTTGGAAGACCAATACCAAGCAAAGATTTATACATAGGCCTACTTGGCATAGGCCCTATTACCTTGATGGCAGTGAGGGCAAACATGATCTTGCGTCTGCCATCAATGTTGGTGTTCAAAACACGCAAGATGTGCTGGAACTTCTCGGGCAGAACCAGACTCTGAATGAAATATTTAAAAAATAGCAAAAAATTACCAAATATTTAAACAGTGAAAAAAAAACGCATCTTAAAAAAGTATTCAGTCCTGGACTAGGCGTCCTATATACTTATTTGAAAGAACTTTATGAACTTGTCAGACTGAGGAATCTTCACCCCGGACGAGATGTACATAGGCTTACATACATCACAACATTTGAAAGGAGACAAGTTCTTTTTTACCTATTTTGTGGCTATAGTACACTAGTTTCATATGAAAATCTCGCCATGAGTAAAAATAATATATGATTATCTATTGGTGCTATTATTATGTTTTTAAATACAATGATGTGGACGATTAACATGGATTTCATAGGAGACTTAAATTCCTCTTACCATTATGGCTGATGAGATGAACGAAAAAGACCGTACGAGAAATCCCACAATTCCACGAGATTTAAGGCGATTCGGACGTTTTACATACAGCTATTACAATTGGCTTATGCTCGCAGATTTCTTCTGCAGTGCGGATTGTTCTGACCAATGAGAAGGGGTCTTTTATTACAATAGGGCCTAAGTAGAAGTGTGCTGAACAAAATGGCAGCGGCCGAGAGCAGCTCGATAGAAGTTGGCCAAGACGAAGAGGCAAGTTTGCCCCCTGTTATCATTAACTCGAACAGTAGTGTGTCACATTAGTGAGGGTTACTTGTTCCACTAGGTTGCGTTGTTTGAATGGTACATTCTTGAGAATGAAATGAGTAAAACGCTCATTATTCGATGCAGTCTTCTCGCGTTGGCCACGCGCGCTCAGTTTAGCGTTGGTAGCAAGGGCGCCCTCATTTTGCTAGTAGCAGTGGGTGTTAACATGGGTTCCTACATCCATGATGTTAATGCCAACGGGGCGGGGGGGGGAATATGATATTTACCTGCAGATAAAGTGTAAATGGGATGGACCTTTCTTAAGAATCAGGGTCGGGGAAAAGGCACTTTGGTAAAAATTCCATTACCTAGGCCTGTCACTGGTTTTGAGTGTCATGAACACACCATGACCAGTCCAGGAACTTTTGTACATTAACAAGAAGGGTAAATTTGTCCCTTTGCCATGTGTTAAAATCTGTAGTGACATCATGCTGACAGCGAGAATGAAGGCTGCCTGTGCCTAATTGTAAAGGGGGAATTTTAGCGAGAAAGGGGTTCAGGAAAGAGTTCCATATATATCATCTTGTCCGGAGTGTGGAAAAAGGCAACTGAAGTAAACTTCATCCTCCAAATGAGGAAAAGGCAATTTTCTTGCAAATAGCAACCTGGGAGATAGTAAGCCCTATAAATAGTGAACATACTGGTGCAATTTCAGCTCATGAAATTCATCGGATGTCTGATAATATCCCCGGGCATCTCGGATAAACGTTATTGAAAGAAATCACTCTCATTCGGTACAGTACAGGGCCCAGTATAGCGACAAAGGAGCATAAATAGGGCCCTGTTTACAGGTCTATATGTCATGTGTTGTGACCTTGAAGCACACATCAGAGTTAAGATGTTTCTAAGTTGTCTTGCCTCTTTTCAAAGGCTGTACATTCATTTGCCCTGTGCATGAGCACGTGTCGGTTGCCGTTACATTGTTTTTTCTTTCCTCGTCTGTGCTATTTGCTTCAGAGCTTAGACATCCCTGAGCTGAACCTCGGAGTTCTGGATCTGACGTCGGATGAGTTCATTCTGGACGAGGTGGATGTTCATATTCAACAGAATCTCGAGGATGACGTGGTGAAAGCAGCCTTGGAATCTGTGAGTACGAAGTAGGATCAAAATTGGGAGTGGACAGCTGTTGTGAAATTATTCCCCCCGTCTTAACTTTTCAGTCGCTCTTTTGAGAAATCCACCTAATCCGTAACAAATCCTCTGTGCGAAAATGAATGACTTTCTATGTACACAGTTAGAAAAA